GTTTTGTTATTTCTTAATCATTACTTGGTCATAAAAATTCGGTTCATAATATAAACGCAGTGTCAAATGAATCCCTGACTTCGGACGTAATATTCCCAATCCCAAGGCCAATGAGCTGTTAGGGTCGTCAGGGCACTAAATGTCTGTCTTTCAGCCGTACTGTTTCCTGAGCAAGATAGTCTGACGGAGCTCAAACCTCTTCAGGATGGTTTTGAACTCAGATTTTTTCTACTCCTAGACTGGTTGCCACCCAAGGCTATAGGACGCAGACTGTCCTGTTATTCATCCATAGGTGAAGTGAGAAGAGATTTATTTGTAGACTTTCTCAAGAGTGTTAGCACGTAAAGTGAATGCAATGAACTCGACTGGAATTCGAACTTGGCTCTCAAATTCCTCAACCCGAGCCGCTGTCTATTACGCCAACTTCGCGTACTATTACGAATTGGGAAAAAGGAGAGCATCATTAATTTCCTAATCATAGTTTTAAATTTGACATTTGCAAATAACAACTAAGTTCAGGTAACTCTTTAAGCACTCGATCATCGATTTGATACTGGAATAATATCATGAAGAGCGCCTCGTTTCTAAAAAAATTTTTTTTTTCGATTCTGACATATGTCGTGGATAGAGAGAGGTATAATGAATACTCATCTAATAAAAAAAATATCCGCCCAAATCCTTCTGTGTGGAGGGTGTTCTCACTCCTCTTCTTCTAACAACGCAACAGAACCACTAACATGCAAGGGGTTATTCAGTGGTATAGAATATAAGAAAAACATTATTAAGGAGAGAGAGCCATAAAAGAACAGAATTTAAGATAACATTGTATTTGAAATTTGGAAGATCGAACTTGACTGGAAAGCAAAAAGCTAGAAGAGAGTTCCACAGGAGAGAAGTGGGAGGAAAGAAACTGTTGGCATAGAACAGACTGTTACATCTATCTATTTCGACAGTAAAATGATGAGACCTTGCCACCAATCTAGTACTGCGTTTACATTCCTATGTGACACTATTTGTTACTGGTAAATAAGAAGTTTTTTCTTTCTTTGTCTTCACCCCGCTCGGACCAGCCCAATACGAAGATACCTGACAACAATTTGATCTTGGCATACCTTATGATCAAAGCAAATCACAACGAAGCCTGGTTCGAAACGATCACCTATTCGGCCAGCCGCAGGTATTGAACATCTTCGACGACCAGGGAAGGGCTTGAGAGCGACACCTAAATTTTGGTAACACAGAGAAAATTTCATCAGAACAATTAACATGAAAGTATTTATAGAAAAGGTTCAGGGAAGCTACATTATGGCGGTGGGAAAGAAACTGAAGGGAAAATGCCAGGTCAGGTAATATTGCAGATTCTTTGGATTTAATCAAGGATTTTTAAATATATAACAAGAGCACCAGAACAGTAATGTTCTAAGTATGGGCGACTGGTAGATTTATAAATATGCCTGATAGATTCTGGTGGGTGTTTATATTTTTTTTCTGATTTGTTCATTTTTGTTTCAACTTCTTTGTTCTTTGTCTTTTATTTGTTTTTTTGTTGTTTTTTTTTATGAGCGGACCACTTAACTTAAGTCGATCCGTCAAGTCTAGCGACTCCAATCGTTCACTATGATTTATTGGAGGCCGGAGAAATAATCACTGGGAATGTTAGCATCATCAACCCAAGCATGACAGTAGCGTATCTTTGATGAAGAGAAAAGCTATTATTTTCCAGCGTGGCAATATAAGGTCTTAGGCAGGAGAACAAAGTGAAGAGAAAATAAAGTCATTAGACTGAGAAGTTTTACGTTGTTCATACTCACCGGAGGCTATAACTTTCCAATTATCATTTGTTTCACACGCTACAACATTTCCTTGGTTCCAGATCATTTTGAAATAAGTGTAAATATATATATATATATGTGTGTGTGTGTGTGTGTGTGTGTGTGTGTGTGTGTGTGTGTGTGTGTGTAAATATATATATAAGTATTAAATATATATATATAAGTGTAATATATATATATAAATTATAAAAATATATATATATAAATTGTAAAAATATATATGTAAGTGTAAAATATATATATGTGCAAAAAATATGTATATAAATGTAAAAAATTATATATAAATGTAAAATAATATATGTCTGTAAATATATATAAGTGTAAAATATATATATAAGTGTAAAAATATATATAAAGTGTAAGTATATATATAATTGTAATATATATATAAATGTAAAATATATATAAGTGTAAATATATATATATAAATGTAAAAATATATATGTAAGTGTAAAATATATATATGTGTAAAATATATATATATATATATAAGTGTAAAATTATATATAAATGTAAAATAATATATGTGTGTAAATATAAATGCAAAATATATATATATAAATGTAAAAATATATATAAGTCTAAAAATATATCTGTGTAAATATATATAAGTATAAAATATATATATATAAGTGTAAAAATATATATAAGTGTAAAAATATATATAAGTGTAAAATATATATATATAAGTGTAAAAAATATATATAAGTAAAAAATATATATATATAAGTGTAAAAATATATATAAGTGTAAATATATATATATATAAGTGTAAATATATATATAAGTGTAAATATATATATATAAATGTAAAAAATATATATAAGTGTAAAATATATGTGTGTGTAAATATATATAAGTGTAAAATATATATATATATAAGTGTAAAAATATATATAAATTGTATATATATATATATGTAAAAAATATATATATATAAGTAAAATATATATATATAAGTGTAATAAATATATATAAGTGTAAATTTTATATATATATATGTAAAAATATATATATAAGTGTAAATATATATATAAATGTAAAAAAAAATATATAAATGTAAAAATATATATATAAGTGTAAAATATATATATAAGTGTAAAATATATATATAAGTGTAAAAATATATATAAGTGTAAAAATATATGTGTGTGTAAATATATATAAGTGTAAAATATATATATTTAGGTGTAAAAATGTATATAAGTGTATATATATATATATATATATATATATATATATATATATCATTTTGACAACTGCAATGTAATATAATTCCTCATCTTCATCGGCCTGTAAGTAATCTTCTCAATACAATTCGGACTTCTGCCATTTTCGCTGAGACATTTCTCTTGATACAAAATGTTGATTGAAGCGAGAAGTTTCTTATCCAGTGAAGAAAACCATATTGTCTGTTCGCCTGTGACCTTATAAACAGTCAACTCAAGTGGAATCTTCACTTTTCTGACTAGCTCTGTTTAGCTAGAGAAGCGAGTCGATTTGTTTAATTTGTTTGCATGTATAAAGCCACATGACCTTAAAACATATCACCTGATTACGTGCTCTCCTTTCATTCAGCCATGTTTATAACCATGACCTGAAGGATTTCCGTGCATTGATCGCCGATTGGGACTAAAGTTCAACCTAGACGCCAAGTAAAACACCTACATACATCCCATAGCTAAAGAGGCTATAAAACGGTCGCTTCCTTGTCAGTTATGTGCCATGCGTGATGCACGCGTAGGCGATCATGTATCGAAAGATCTGTTCTGCTATTTATCCATAGCTGGAGGGAGAAGAAGAGGATTCATACCATTCCCAAGAGTATTAGCACGTAAGTGAATGTAATGGATACGACAGGAATTCGAACTCGGCTCTCCGATTTCTCAATCCGTGCCGCTATCCATTACTCCACCTCTTCATTGTACCGCTTCACTAAAATACCTGACTCTACCATTACAAGAGCCATATCAGACCGAAAATAAATTACTGATGGCATACATGGGCAAGAGCTGCCCAGTTTTGACTTTCCAGTCTCCGCGTCCTTGTGGGTGATGAATTATTTTCCAATCTACAACCCCATTTCCACAGACGGAATGTCGCATGCCACTCGCTGATCCATGTCTATTTCCATGGAAAGTGTTCAAACGAACTACATTCCTTAGCTTTAGCAGTTCAGATCTTCACGTCAAAGACCCGCCATGACACTTGTTACGAACCATCTGGTATTCCACTGGTAAGATGTAAATTCTACTCGAGCAGCATCTTCCGACGAAGCTCTGTGGTACCAACTCCCAAGATGATGTTTCGCCGACCACGACAATCTTAACCTGTTCAGGTCTAGGGTTAACCGTTATCTCCCCCACATATTCCCATAATCTGTTCCTCTTAATCTGCAACCCTCTACCTCGAGTGACTCTTAGGCCTTGTTCTCTTGGGTTTATGATTTCAGTCTCTCAGCTTCTTTGATCCCTAAAGTACTAGAATGTTATCGGTTTGGATTCGAAAAACAAACTTTACGTTACTAAATGCTACAGAACTGGTCAATTAGTTTTAACTTATTTACTATTTGAATCCGCATTCATATCCGGGTAAAAAAGGAAAGAAAGTTGCCTTTCAAAAGCTAAGCAAAGAAATATGAAATTTCGTTAAAAACAAAAAAAGAATACTGAACTGTTATGTAATATAAGTACCCCTATATGGCAGTGATTGCTAGAACATCTCATCACAGATGGAGAAGAGACTTGAGGCAACAGAAATGTGGTTCTACAGAAGGATGCTGAGAATACCATCGGCCGAAAATGTGAGCAAAGATCCAGTTTAAAAGTAAACATAAACAAAATGGATACATATACGTAGCACCAGAAAAATATAGTTAAAATGTTCAGGGCACATAATGAGGAAAGAGGGCTTGGAAAATCTGACACTTACTAGACTTATTAAAGGCAAGAGCAACAAAGGAAAGCGGGTCATGACTTACCTAACGAGCTTGTGTAAATGGTTGGCAGAACAGATTGTGAAAAGACTTGAAGCAACAGAAAGATTGTTCTACAGAAGGATGCTGAGAATACCATGGACCGAACATGTGAGCAACGATGAAGTTTTAAGGAAAATTTATCTGTGTGGGTTATTTAAAGTTGAAATATATTTCGGATGGTAGAAGGCAACTTACAGCACCGGTGTTCTCAAACGGTCCCCCATCTAAATACTGACCAGGCTCGACACTGCTTAACTTCGGTGGTCAGACGAGAACAGGTGTTTTCAGGGTGATTTGGTTGTGATGAATGTGAAAGTTCTACGTAGAATTTCAAAGAAAGTGCTGCTAACAATCACAACCCCCCACCCCCCACCCCCCGAAAACTGGAATTTGTGGGACGCATATTGAGAAAAGAAGGTTTGGGGAATTTAACACTAGTCCTCCTGTATGGGAGTTTATGTTAGAAAAGCTTTTTACAGATGAAGAAGAGACTCTATTTTTATATATATATATATATATATATATATATATATATATATATATATATATAGTCGACTCTCCCGTCGAGATTCGACATATGAGGGTAAAACAGATCAGTTTCCAGGAAACCGACAGGCCGACACCGGCACATGAGATTTGATTATAGTGGTGAAGGCCTCGTGCAGGGCTATCCACACTTTTTGAGAGGGACGAATACACCGAGTGCCACAAGGTTGCCAAGGTTTTGAATTCAGAGTTGTCCTTCTCCTAGACCAGTTATATATATATATATATATATATATATATATATATATACAACATATATATATATATATATATATATATATATATATATCTGTGGGTTTTATATATATATATATATATATATATATATATATATATATATATATATAAAAACCACAGATATATATATATATATATATATATATATATATATATATATATATATATATATATGCGCGGTAATTATTAAAAGCACTCAATATCAGAAATAGAGCTGACAAGCTCACATCAGTCCTACTAAATATATATATTTTTTTATTTTTTTTTAAGCGTTTCAACCACAAGCAAGACGGGAAGCCACTAGCATGCAAGGGGTTACAGAGAGTTGGAGCTAGAGCAAATAGGAGTGATAGAGGAAAGAATAAAGAGAAGGAAAGGGGATAGATCAGGGCATCTGGAGACGTCGACTGAGATGACATTTGAATAGTTGGAGATTATAGCTATCAGGGAAACACGAAACAGGGAGGGAGTTGCACAGGTGAGAGGTGCGAGACATGAAGCTATTAGAGTAGAAGAGACGGCTACATTTAACAGTTTCAACAGTGAAAGGGTGTGAGCAAGACCAGCCTAGTAGAACGCTTAAATTCATGAAATCTGGGAACCAGCGAAAGCAGCTCATCGGAGCAGTTACCATGAAAGTATTTGTAAAAAAGACAGAGGGAGGCAACGGCACGTCTGTGAGAGAGCGACTGCAGACGAGATGCCAGATCAGGGCCAATTGCATTGCATATCCGTCTCTGGATTTTATCAAGGACCTTGAGACAAACCGAAAGGGCTCCAGACCATATATGACAACAATACTCCATGCAAGGGCGAATGGTTGATTAATATCAGAAAGATACTGTTGAAATTTCTGGGGCACATAATCAGGAAAGAGGGTTTGGAAAATTTGATATTCATAGGACGGGTGGGCACCACGAGTCGGTGTAATGGTTAGTAAGCTTGTCTCGCTAGAACAGTTACCATTGAGTAGTGAGTTCGATCCTCACTCGATTCCCCATACATCCGGCCCTGTGCCACATCTAAGCAACGCTTGGAAAATCACTACTCATAGTTCAGGTTGAAGGCAAGATGGACAGATAAAAAAAATAGTGCATAACCTACATGGCGAGCTTGAGTAAATGTATAGAGGAACAAGGCTTAGGAGAGATAACAAAGACACGAAAATTTAGGAGCTACAAGGGACAAGGATTTGTGGAGAGCCACGATCTCCAACGTCCTGAATGGGCACGGCACAAAGATGAATAGTATGTTGTCAATATTTCAAACTATCGTTTTTTGTTTTTTTCTTTTGTTTTTTAAGTAGCGTGAACCATTATAGCGAATTTCAAAATGGTAGATTTTGATTAACACTCTTAGTTACCTAATACAAGAGAAGGGTCTGAATAATTGGGGAGGGGTGAGTTTTTCTCAAATACACTATAAATGGGGTATTTTAATAAAAGAATTGCTAGAAAATCATTTAAAGGTTAAAAAGTGCGAAATTAATAAACGGGGGTGATCTTAATAATCTCGTGGAGGTCTTTGAATGTTTCTTTATATACCCCCAGCATCTACTAGGCACATAAAATTATGGCCATTGAACACAATACCTAAGGAAAGAATATTAGCATGACACTTAAGGAACTATATTTCTGATCAAACCAAATTTATAAATAATTATATTGGATATACTACAACATGCCGATCGGGAAGACTCACGTTACATCTCTCTGATTATAGCTCATGTAGGTCTCATTTAAATACACACGGAAACCTACCAAAATCCATATAGTAGTATACTCGTTGATAATACAAATAAAATAGCCTCATGCACATGTAAAACGGCTAAAAATAATGGAAGCATTATTAATAAAAAAAGAAAAAAGGCAACACTCAGTAACATCAAATATGAGAACGGCCATAATGTGCTGACCGTGTTTGGCAAATAAAACATTCTTATAACTCTAGCTACATACATAAAACAATCCATGCATTCAATTAAAAGGGAAAATAAAATCATACTTGATAATAGTTAAAAGTATAGCCGAAAGTGCTTAGAGATCCAGAAAAATAGAAAATTATAAGAACACAATAAAAATTAAATAAAACAGAACTGCAGTTCCTTGTCAGTCGTTTTTAATGAAACTTGTATAAAAAGTGGGATTGCTCCCCAAATACACAATACATATCTATCTATCTATCTATCTATCTATCTATCTCTCTCTCTCTCTCTATATATATATATATATATATATATATATATATCATTTATTCGAAAAGTATAATATAAAAATGTTATAAAATCACTAAAAAAAATAGCCATTTTGTTTCAACACTTCTGGTGTACACAGAAGTGTTGAAACAAAATGGCTATTTTTTAGTGATTTTATAACATTTTTATATTATAATTTTCGAATAAATGATTATATTTGGTCTACCTGTATTGAGCACTCTTTTAAGAATAGTATTTGAGTATTTGTTGGTTATTGGAATTTATTCCTCATACAGCCATCCTATACTTGGATATATATATATATATATATATATATATATATATATATATATATATATATATATATATGTGTGTGTGTGTGTGTGTGTGTGTGTATATATATATATATATTTTTCTCCGAGTGTTTTCGAACATTGCTTTTTTTTTTTTTTTTTCAAGGATTGTGTTTTGTGCATGTTTATGTAACTGCTTTTGGTTAATTCCAGCTTTTCCTCGTTTGAACAAATAAAGGTGACGTTATTTAAAGGCTCAGACTGAATTTTATGTGTATTTTATTTTTTTTATTATTATTTTTTACGAAAAACACTTACATAAACAAACACAAAAAGCAATCTTTGACAACAAATGTAGCAACATTCGAAAGTACACGAAAAAAATGAATAAAACCAAACATAAATTCATCGATTATATAAAACATCTAATTCGGAAATTTTAAAAAGTTAACTAAAAAAACTTGGATAGACAAAACTAATTATATATAATTAATTTTGATTAATTGTAATTAACTTTAAGCTTAATTTTATAAAACGTCTGCCCATTAAGGCCAATACCTTCCACCATCCCCTAACCACAGTTTTGGCCATTCAGTCTGATTGAAACATCGAAATGGATAAATTCTATATCAATTTTTCCGACAGCTGTCAAAGTCGTATTTCTAATTCCGACGCGAAATCAGTCTGTACACTGGGGTTGAATAAGACTGACGTAATTTCTGTCGGTTGAAATAGATCCATACCCATATGAGGTAATTTGGCATTTTGTTGTGTAATACTATTTATATGATCTGTTATAATAAATACATTGAGCTCTTTTTGTGGATCAGTTTTAATATTTTATATTACTAGGATCCACTTGGATTATATACCAAGGGATTTATTATCTGTACTATATATATATATATATATATATATATATATATACAGACAAGCCTCTCATCTACGGACCCTCATCAACGGACTTCGGATGCTACGGAAAAAATCTGCAGGCAAAATAAAAAACAAATCTTCAGGGAAAAAAACTCAAAATAAAAATCGTCAGCGATGTATTTCAAAATTCGCGGTCCGAGCGGAACGAGTCGTATTAGTTCTCAAACTGACCGCTTGGCGGCGGTGGCGGGCTTTTCAGTATAGTATATAAAGTACGATACATTAGTGCGTGCGTGAGAAAGTAGCTGTGGGAAATCTATTATTTTTTGTTGTTTTGATTACTATATCTATATTAAGTATATATTTACTTATGCCATATATACATGTTTCTAGCATTTGCATTATGATCATAACTAGTGTTAGTTACTATAGCGGTTTTATAACTGGAAATAATTCCTTCCCATCTACGGAAAATCGGCTTTAACGGACCACCCCATCCCCCTATTAGTCCGTTGATGAGAGGTCTTTTTGTATATATATAATTATCATTATTATTGTTAGTAGTAGTAGATATAGTAGCAGAAGTAAAAGTTTAATTAAAACAGTTACTATACAAAGTAAGTAAATCCATTTTTGGGGGCAATTATTCTTGTGATGAGTTTCAGCGAAGGCCCCTGTCCATGAAAGTGTGTCATCAAATTGTACTTTAGAGGACAGCTAAAATAGATTCGTATAACCAACAAATATATCTGTTGGATATACGAAAATAGTTTCATATATTTGGCTTGTACTCTGTACAGTAATCTATACACGCGACTACTCAACGAATTAAAATCGTTCTTCTTCATGGACGTCTGCGCATGCGTATTCGTCACTTTGTTGATACAATTATACAAATAAAGGGTAAATTAAGAAAATATATGAATGCTTAAGATCACTGTAAATCCATCCCACTTGTTTAAAGGGGGAAAAATTCCTTTAATGTTCTCGCAGGGCTTCTATGTTTAGTCAAATGGAATTGATAAATTTTTCTTCTTTTTTTTTTTTTGAAATCTTCATTAAGAGGGGGGCATGGCGAAATACGGAGAATAAATAGATGTGTGGGCAAATGTAAGCGAATGTACATCAGAAAAATGCCCCCCTTCTTTCAGAGTGCT